GTGTGTGTGTGTGTGTGTGTGTTAGGCAGTGAAAGCTGATGCATCTGGTGTTTGTGTGTCTGAATCTGCACCCATGAGTGTATATCCCTGAGGTGTGAGTATAGAAGGGTCTGTGTGTGTGTGTGTGTGTGTGTGTGTGTGTGTGTGTGTGTGTGTGTATAGCTCATGTGGATCTAAATCTCTGCCTGTCTCTGGGGAAGGGGCCCCCGCAGAATAAGGACTATGTCTGAATAGAGAACAGAAACTCTCCTCCTCCTTATATGGCCCAGAGGCCACAAGGAGGATGAGGGACGGGGTGAGATGAGTGGGCAGGGGGGCCCTCCAGTCCTGGACGCTGGCTCACATGTGCACCTTCCCTGGGAAAGTGCCGCCCCATTCCCTGCCAGGTCCCCTCTCTCCCAATAGCCCCTGGCTGGACCCCTCTTCACCAGTTACCCTGTCTGTGGGGCAGCTTGGGCTGGGCCACTTGCTGCCCTTTCATTCTTCGCTCTGAGGCCCCAGAAGGCTGCAAGGTCGAATTAACCGTGTGTGTTCTTGCCAGTCCCGGGGCTCTGCTTCCACTGAGCTCCAGGTCAGAGAAAGGACTTATTTGAACTGCAGGAATGTGCATCGGGCGGGACATCAGAAGGAGCTTACCACTGACAATAAGGGGACAAGGGCATACATTCTAAGGAGGGAGAGTCTCCTCTCCTGGAGATTTGTCGAATGGAGAATTCCTGCCTTTAAAGGTTTGGAGGCAGGGGACTGGATAAGATGGCTTTGTGGCTTTTCCTTCAAGATCGGGCTATAGGGGAGGCTGTGGTCACAGCCACTGTCATCCTGATCTGTAGGTACCTCCTTCTGTGGGACCGTATCTCCGATACAGGCAGCTGATTCCAGGAAACACCATTTTCTGTTTCTTTTCCGTATGCTCAGACACAGGTGAATTCTCAGTGCCTGGCAGGCACATAGTAGGTGCTTAATAAATGTGCAGAAAATTCCTTCATCTGGGAGCAGAGATACAGCTCTGATCCAGTGGTGCCTCCACCAGTCCTGGCCTGTGTGCTTAGCTTTGGGGCTAGCATGTTGCAACGAGTTCCAGGCTAAGACATGCAGGGGGCATTCTGGACACGGACACACACACGCGCACACACACACACACACACACACACACACGCTTTATTCCAAAGCCTTATTTCTGCCCCTTCACCCACATTCAGTCTCCTCCACCCCTCTCTGCAGTCCACCAGCCCTGCCCTGCCTGTTTGCTGAAGTCAGGAGAAAGGAGAGGGCGCTAAGCCAGGCGTGGTGCTGGGAAGTATGTGTGTGTGCGTGTATGGAGTGGGCGGGAGGGGGAGGGAATGAAACCCCAGCAGGGAAACTGACAGGGCAGTGGCAGGCCTAGGGCTGCGAGCTCTTTCCCTCCCAAGCTGTGCACTGGCCCACTGGCCACTGCTCTGTGTGGCAGTGGGGGGCAAGGGTAGGTAGCAGTAAAGATACAGAAGTAAACTGGGGGACAGAAGTTAGGGAAGAAAGTGAAGGGCAGTGGCCCTGGCATGTGGGATGGCAACTGGCTCAGGAATGTCAATTATCTCCCGGCCCCCTCCAGGAAGACTTCTTGGATGGCACAGCTTCAGAAGGAAGAATGTTCAACCATCATTCCTTTCTCTGGTGGGAAAAGTAGTCAAGGATGTTGTGGGGGTGGCTTCACCCAGCCCATCCCATGTGCTAGCTTTGGGGCTAGACAGCTTTTTTGAGGGGGCACCCTTTTCTTTCTTTTCCTTTTGTTTTTTTCAGCAAGGGTCTCACTCTGTCACCTGGGCTGGAGTGCAGTGGGGCGATCATAGCTCACCACAGCCTCCTGGGCACAAGTAACCCTCCCACCTCAGCCTCCCAAGTAGCTGGGAGTACAGGTGCGCGCCACCACGCCCAGCTGAGGGGGGACCCTTTTCTACACCACCACTCACACGGGTTGGGATCATTATTATTTTCTGTGTCATCAGGTTCTAAACCAGCACCTAGCATACAGTTGGCACTCAATGCTCATGTCTTAGCCTGGAATGAATGAATTTCTGTAGGACCCTTGGCACACTGTACAGCCATCAGTGGCATTCATATCATGAACCACAGAAAGGAAATACCCTTGTCTTCTTAAGCTGCCTTTGGGAAGATCTCTCTGGTCTCTAACCCAGGCTCTTCCCCTGTGGAGGGGCGAGTGGCCCCATTTCTTTTATGCCAGTGTTTGATTTCCGATGGATCTGCTGCCTGATGTTTTCCAAACCCACCAAAGCCTGCTTATGCCGATATTTTATCTTTGTAACAAATATTGCTCTTGTGTCTCTCCTTGGAGTGTTTGTTTGTGCCTTTTCCCTGCCCCGTCCCTGCCGCTCTGACATTTTATGTCTATATGAGGAGAATATGTGGTTTGGTGGATCTTGAAATCAGAAGAAAGGGGTTCTATTTTGGAGTGTGCCACTTTCTAGTTTTGTGACTTCTTCGAACTTCAGTTTCCTCATCTTTAAAATGAGGATTGTTTTCTTGTCCTAGCAATTTTTCAGAACGGTCATGAGAATTTTAAAATCCCATATCATTAATTTAACTTCTAACCTTTTGCAATTGTCCAAGTGCTTTTATAAACCTTATTTCATTTAATCCCCACACATTCCAGTGAGATAATATGGCTAATTACTCAATTTACAGATGAGGAGAAACAGAGTGAAGGGTCAAGTGACTTGCCTGAGATCATAAAGCTACTAAGTGGCAGAACCCAAACCCAAGCCTTTTAATTATAAAAGGAGTATCTTTGGGGGAAAAAAATCCCAACACAGCACAAAGCCTGTGAAGTGCTACACAAATATGTTATTACTACTTTGGGGCAAGGCTGAATAAGTCCAAAGAAGCATCATGCCTGACGACGCTGAGTCGGCTGGCCGGTGAAGGCGTCTGTCCTTTCCCATGGTGGCCCCTGACTCACCTGTTGGACAGGTAGGGGGAAGGGAGAATAATGAGTCTTACCTGCTCAGAGCTAGGGTGGGGCAAGACACACCCCATCCCTTCCATTGGTTCTTTCCTTAGTCTTACTGACAGCCCCTTATCCAATCAGGAGGAAGTAACTTTTTATTTGCCAATAGGTGCAACGTTAGGATGGGACCTCAAGTTGGAGTCCATCCCAGAGCCGACTGGCAGTCCTTGGGGCCAATGGCGAGCGGATAAACATAGGCGGCCGTGAAAGGGGACTGGGCGCGAGGCTCCGCCCCTTGATGGGACAGTCAGGCGAGGCAGCCTGTGAGTTCGTATCAGCGGGTGGGCGTCTCCTTCAGGGGCGGAGCTTAGGAGGGGCGAGGGGCGTGGCTTGGCTGTCAGGTCCCTTCGCCTTTTGTTCGGTTACTGAGTTGCTGCCTAGGCCAGAGTCCGGAGCAGCCGCCGCCCGAGTGCGCCGAGCTCAGTTCGCTGCCCGCGCCGGCTCCCACCCGGCCCGACCCCGATCCGGCCCGGCCAGGCTCCACACGTAGGTGCAGACGACCAGGGGCAAGTATCGCTCGGGAGAGGGAGTGGGTGGTGAGCGGCCGCGAGGCCGGTCCCAGCGGTCTCCCGGCAGGTGAGGGCGGGTGCCAGGGAGCGCCACCCTGCACCGGCGGCAGGGGGCGCGCTGGGGTCCTGGGCGCGGCGACTGAGGGGGCGCGCGGTTGGGGAGAGCCATCCTCGGGGCTCCGGGAGCGGGAGATCTGAGAAGGGCGGAGAGCGATCAGGGCAGGTACCTCCGGGGTCGCGCCTCCCCAGGACCCGCGGAGCCCACCAGACGCTACGTCCCAGATTCTCGCCCTGAGCTGGCGGGGAGACTTTGACCTGCTGTGCCTGCATCCCAGGGCTCACTCTGCAGTCGGGGATTTACCGTTTGGGAAACTTGCTGCCGCTGGTCTCTTTGGGGCCACCCTCACCCCATCCCACTCGTTATCCTCGCTTTCCCTCCCTCCCTACTCCCCCAGGCCTGGGTGGGGCCCTATTGTCTGCATCCAGCTTGCCCAACTGTGGGGGCTGAGCACACATTTTCACAGAGACGCTGGCCTCACCTGATCGGCAGGTGAGCGCACGGAGTCCAGAGACCAGCTCCTGGAGGCTCGCTGATACTACTTGCGGCGCCTCCTTCGCCTCCCGTGGGTCCCGGGCTATGGCTCCTTCAGCGGATGTGGGATGGGGTGACAGTGGGGTTGGTGCAGGGCTCGGCTCAGTGCCCGGCTGGTGTTTGGCATCCGTGGCTCGGACTGGGGTCTGGGAGGAGGTGTCTGTGCGTGGGTGGAGAATTCAGGGTCACCTGGCCCAGTTTCCAGTAGCTGTGGTTTCCAGAGTGTTGGCGTGGGAACAGGACTACCCTTCTTCCCTAACCTCTTATTGTTGGAAAAATCACCCAAAACAAACTTTGCAGAAGGAAGTACTCAGGACAGCTTTCTCTTGGGGTTTTCCTGTCTCCTAGTCCAGAGCTTCCTCTAGGCTTAGGGGGTCCCTCTTCGTGCAAAGCCCCCTCCCCCAGCCAGCCCCAGGCTGAACCTGGGCCAGTGTCTGCTCTCTGACCCTGTCCTCCCTGCCCCCACCTGCATCCCGTTTGCTGGGCCCCTGGGGCCTGAGGTGGGGGCCAGAGTTGGGGCGGGGGGAGGGCCGAGAGGGGAAGCTGCTTCTTCCGTCTCTTCCTGCCTCCGAGGACCACCACACCCCCTCGGAGGAGGCCTGCCTGCTAGTGGCTCTCTCTTCCAAGCTCTGCCCCCTCCCCAGGAATGGGGGTGGGGCGGGGCTGGGCCGAACTGTGGAAGGTGGAGGGAGTGGTTGTTCTTTTCTCTACCCCACCCCCTCCTTACTTAGCCAGCTGGTAATTGAGGCTGTGGGGCTTGGTTGCCATCTGATTTCTGAATTAGGAAGGTGCTTGCTTTCTGGAGCCTTCCCAGACCTTGCGCCACCCCCTTTCCTGAGAGAATTTGACGGCGAAAGTGGGACAGGAGGACGGCTTTTTGGGGGAAGGTTTCGTCAACACTAGACTCCGTCGGGCACAAGGGCAGCAGGCCCCCACCTCCTCTGCCCCCAATTTCCTAAGAGCCCTCCTCGATCCCCCGCCGGAACTGGGGCTCTTAACCAGGCTTTCTATACCAGCTTGTACAAACCAGAGTGTGGTCTTTTCGCAGGACTTGGAGCCCAGCCCCCTTGGGGGTACTTCGAGAGCTGGGTTCTCTCTCAAGTCCTGGGTGTGGAAAGAAGATGGGGGGGGTCAGCGCTGCTTGGTGGGCGGCGGAGGGCGGGGAACCTGCCACCTCCTTTGGTTGTAGATGGGAGAGTGGGGGAGCGCCAGACCCACGCCCTCGGAGTGTCCTGAGTAGGAGTCAGGCTCAGCCCTGGGCTAGGGGGCGGCTGAAGTGGGGACCCAGGCCCTGGGGGGTGGGGGGAGGGGCCTGCACCTCTGGGGAACTACAGGGGCATGGAGTTTGGGCAAAAATAGCCTGTTTTCCCTCCTCTTTGAGCCAATGTGGAGGAGGGGAAGGCATTGTAATTACGCTGGCTAAATGATTAGTTTAGCTAATCTGGTTTGTGGCCGTGATGAAAAGATAATACTGAGGAAGTATTGCTAGGAGGTGCCGGGCGAAACTGGCCGCTGACTGGACGCGAGGGGGAGGGGAAGAAGGTGGGATCCAATTGGTCATTTCTTGCTAAGATCAAGCCCCAGCTTGGGTGACATGAGCCCTCTTCTCCCCACTCCACCCCTCCTTCGCACCCCAGCTCCACCCCATTCCCTCTGGAGCCTCCATTCGGGCTGCCACAGCTGGGCTCTGAGAATGCAGTGTGTGGGAGTGAAGGGCAGGCCAGGGCTGGCAGCTTTTTCCCTTCCTGGAGGCCCATGGGGCGGGTACCGAACAGCGAGGTCTCTCCCTACCAGGAGCCACCTTAGAATCCGATGGGAAATTGACTAGTCTACAGAGGGCTGTTTATCTGGAGAGATGGTATAGCGGGCTGAGCTGGGTTTGAGTCCCAGCTCTGCCCCTCATTGCCAGTGTAGCCTTAACTTAAGATCAAGGAAAGACCTTAGACACCAAGCACTTTCATGAACTGTTCTCACTTATTCCTCATGGCTGTCCGTGGAAGCAGGTATCATTATCTCCATTCTACAGATGAGGAAATTGAAACTCAGGGAAGTTAAGTCACTTGCCTGGGGTTGCACAGCTATATGCTGAGCAGAGCCAGGACTAGCATTTGGGTCCTCTGGGGCTGCAAGCCCAGAGCTCATCCTGCTGCATTGCCCCACTGAAGTTCTGGGAAGGACTTTTCTGCCACCCATTTTTGAGAGCCTCTGCTTGATGGGGGAGAAGAGAATTCAGAAGGGCCCATAAAGTAGGTGTGGGTGGTGGAGGTGGGGGTGACTCATGTCCTAGCCGCCACGCTCTGAAACCTCCCCAGTGGCTTGGTTTTTAGTTCCTGGTGGAGGGGGCTCTCTCCCTGAGGCTAGGGGCTGTGGCAGTTGTTTGGGGAGGTTGGGAAGGAAAGAGGAGGGGAAGGTCAAAGACCTGCTGCCTCCTGGCTTGAGCTGGGTAGAACCATGGCTGTTCTGGGCTTGTCCCTATGTAGGAAGTGGGAGTTGCCTGCTTTGATGGGGGCTGGACCTGTGCCAGGATAAAGGTGGGGGCTGCTCCCTGGGGAGTGGAGAGAAATGAGAGTCAGATTTAGGCCTAGGCTAATGTCCTGCTGGGTTCCACCAGTCAGTGCTGCCAGGCTGCTCTTGGCGGGGAACTGGCTGTCCCATGTTTTGGAGCCCAGGAGACCTGAGGTAAGTCGCTTGCTGGGAGGGCCTTTCTGGTGACGGGGTGGGGGTCATGGGTGCTGTCAGCCTGAGCCTTTGCCCTTGAGGGAGGAGCTGGTGTCGGATTGTCCTCTCAGACCTGCCTGGCTCTGGCACCTCTGCCAGCTGGGCAGCTGATACCAGAGTGGGCCTGGACATGGGGTCTGGGGAATGGCTTCTCCATATGTGATGGTGCAGCCTGAGCCCTGAACCTGTCACCACCAGGCTTATACATCCCTTGAGGGCAGGAGGGGACCCCAGGCATGGGGATTATTGATCCTGGAGAAAGCTAAGGGGATTTGAGGTCGAGACAGTAGGAAAGAGAATGAGCTCAGTCCCAGCTGACTGCTACAAAGAGGGGGAGGGGCTTGCAGTTTTCTGTCACCCCAGAGGATGCAGGATCGATTGGGACTGATGCTCTTATAGAAGGAATGGAGGCTAGACAGGGGGAAGGACTTCCTGTCTGCTAGAGATGAGATCTTGAGTTGCAGAAGAGTAAGAGGGAGGGATGGGGGCCCAGGACGGAGGGTAGGCAGGACTTACTACTTTTTGGGGTGAGTCTGAGACCTGCTGGGGTCCCTAGGGAGACTTCATCTTGGGTCTTTTGAGAGAAGAGTGACATAGCAGTGAGAGGGAGAGACATCCGTGAGCAGGCTAGCCCAGCGACCCTTGTGAAGAGGAAAAGCAGTGTGGTTGGGCAGGTATCGAAGTTTGAGTTACTGTGAGTGATACCATGAGGCCTGTCTTGGGACATGGTTGGATCTGGTGGAGGTCTAGGGACATGGACTGTCTCATTTTCCAGCCAATTCTTTGGCCAGGCCCGAAGAGGAAGCTCTCTGACCACTCCCCTTTGCTCAGCCTCCTGGCATCTTGGCCTTTGGGGGCCCTCAGGGCAGGAAGCTCAGCTTTCTGTCTTTTCCCACTAGGGAGACAGTGGCAGGGAGGGGAGCAGAGTTGGGACAGTGGTGGGGCAATCAATAAGCTGCATATCTGGGGGTGACTCTCCCCTCTCCCTTGAATGAAAAAGTAATATCTGATCATTGTAAAAAAATTGGGAAGTTTAGGCTGGGTGCAGTGGCTCATGCCTGTAATCCTAACACTCTGGGAGGCCAAGGTGGGAGGATCACTTGAGCTCAGGAGTTTTAGACCAGCCTGAGCAAGAACAAACCCTGTCTCTACTAAAAATAGAAAAATTAGCCAGCTATGGTGGTGCACACCTGTAGTCCCAGCTACTGGGGAGGCTGAGGCAGGAGGATCGCTTGAGCTCAGGAGTTTGAGGTTGCAGTGAGCTACGATGACGTCACTGCACTCTACCCAGGGTGACAGAGCAAGACTCTGTTTCTAAATAAATAAATAAATAAAATAAAAATAATTCTAAACATTTTAAACATTTTAAAAATTAAAAAAATAAAAAGTTGGGAAGTTTAGAAAAGTTTGAGAGAAGAAAAAAATTGCTCATCATCCCAACTCTATAAGGCAATTTCCTGTGAGGTTCTTTCCCTTCTCTTTTGTTAGCATCCTTTTGTTCTTTAGCTTGGTCTGGATGAGCTCATGCTCCGTATACAGTAGCAAATTTTAAGCAAATCTCTATTTAAATTGTGATGTTCTCCAGTGTGTGCTGTACAGGAATCTAGTGAAAATAAACAGGTGGATTTTTCCTGCTCTTCCGAGAGAGGGTCAGGCAAGGATTCCAACACAGCCAGCCCTCTGCTGTTGTTTCCTGATGCGGGGTGAAGTGTTTTTCCATTCCCAAGAGTTCTGTTTGGGGGTCATCTGCTAGTTTGGGATCTGGCCTGCCCAGCGTCACCGGCAGGGAATGGCATTCTAGCTGGAGCCCTCTCCGGGGAGCACAGGGGTTCCCGGGGTGGAGTACTTGTCCAGGGCATTTCCCTGTCCTACAAACCCCCTTCATTTTCCCACCCAGGTTTGTTTGCTTTGGGAAGGAGCCCAGAAGGAGGAAAGCAAACAGCCTTCGGGGCTGCAGGCCTGAGCCTCCCCCAGGCCCAGCCTGTCCTCAAGCGACAGCTCAGGCTGTGCCCCAGACTGGAAGTGAGGGTTTCCTCCGGAAGCTCAAGACCAGCTTCTCTGTTCTGTCTCCTGCTTTTATCTCTGCCCTTTTGGAGTGGCCAGTCTGCTGATGGAGACCACGGTGTCTGCCAGAGAACCTCCAGTCTGCGAGAGGGTCCCTCCGGGCCACCAGCCAGAGGAGAGAGACCCGCTGGGAAGCCCCAGCCTAGGGGTGGACAGGCTCTCAAGGGAAGTGGTCATGTCTGTCTCTGCACTTTTCTAGAGCCTGCTTGTGTCTGTGCTTGGGACTGCTGGCTAGATCGCAGTGGAGTGGAGGCAGAGTGGGACTCCGCTGAGCTGTGGGGAATGTCCCTGTCCGACTGGCTGCAGAAGGCAACACTGACCTCAAGGGGGACAGCTCAGTGTCTCTGCTCCCACCCAAGACCCAAACTTCATTCATGACTCCCAGCCATGCCCCCCATCCTCCCCAGGGGCTCTAGCCTGGGGCTGGGAGGCATCTCCCCAACTAGCCCTCATTGGAGGGGTCAGAGAAAGAAGCTTAGGTCTTGCTCTGGGTCCCCCAAAGCAGGCTGCCAGCCACCTATCTGTGCCAGCCTTCTCCTCTGCCATCTCTTTGTCCTCCGATAGGAGGATGCTTGCCTGAGCCTTGCTTGTGGACAGAGTCACAGTGAAGAAAGTAGCTTGATCGTCTCCATTTTACAGATCAAGAAAATGAGGCCTAAGGAAATCTAGTAACTTGCCCAAGCGGTGGGGCTGGCTGGAACCCCTCTGCCCGCTCAGAATCCCACGCTCTTCCACCCGTGCTCTGTCGCTGTCTGAGCCTTGGGGTCTGTGTCTGCACAGGATGCTGGTCTCTGGCCCGGGGAACCTCTGGGGGGTCCAGCCCCAGCCTGCTCTTCAGTCCTGATGCAGCGGTCCTGTGGGCAGCCTGTCCTCCCTATGTCTCCAGGTGCCTTATTGACACTTGGCACCCTGTAGCCCAGCCCAGCTGTGCCTGTTACTGACTGTCCCCGGCAGGTGCTGGCTAGGGCAGGAGCCAGATGTAGCTCTGCTGGGATTATTTTTAATGTCAGGGCTGGGCTACCCTCTGCTAGGACAGTCTTGGATTTAGGGTGCCCGGTGCAGAGGAGGAAGCAAGAAGGAGGGGCAGGGTTCACCCCAAGCAGCCTCCTTGCCTGCTTGCAGACTCAGCCCGTGTGACCTGCTGTGGAAGGGTCCTCTGCACCCCTCTCGAGGGCCCGTCTCTGTCTTCCTGTCCTTGAGCTGTCCCTCACTCCACCCTGTGATCTCAGAGCTGGCCTCTTCCTCCTGTGCTGCCAACAATAGAGCGCACTGCTAAACAAAGGCCCCCCATTCAACTCACAAACCCGCCCTGTCTCTGTCCCTGTCTGTCCCTGGCTGGGGCGTGTGGGCAGGGCCTGTGTCTGTTTCTCCTGCTTCCACCCGGACTCTGTCCAGGGGCATTGTGGAAGGTCTGACTCTAGGTCCAGGGTGGAGAGGGATGAAACCAAACTGGGTGCGGCTCCCTCCACCCTGGGAACTGTGAAACCAGCACTTTTCTTTCTTGTGGGAGAATTTCCCTGGTTCTCCTGGGGAGTAGGTAAGGAGAAAGGTGGGGCTGGTTGACAGTCCTGCCTGAGGTCTGACTTTCAGCCTTCCTATTGCAGGAATAGCTCTCCCCATGGTCCTTTCCTCAAGAAGAGTCCTGGTATCTGCCCTCTCTCTGAGCTGCTTTCCAGCTCTGACCTGGCCCGCCCTCAGCCTTCTCCTGTCTGTCATGGGAATCCTCATTCCTAGAATCTTAGACATCAGTGTTCCTTTGAGATCACTTGGGCCACCCTTTCTGTAGATGAAGAGGGAAAGTCATTGCCCCAAGGACACTTAGAAAGTTCGTGGCAGAGCTGGGACTAGAACCTGGGACTCTTGATTTGCAGCTGAGTGCTTTCCCCCCATCTGCGAGCACCCTTGGCTGTGTCAGCACCTCCCTCCCCTTGGCAAGAGGGCTCAGCTCCACCCAGTCTTGTCTAGTGGACTGGGTGCTGGTCCCACTGGGAGGCTGACCTGGGTTTGAGCAGGCGCTACCATTTTCTCAGTGTGGAGCCGGCTTCCTTACCTCGAAATTGGGACTAGTAAAATGCCTGCCAGGGTTGCTTTGAGGGAAGAGTGAGATTTGATAATAAAGGCCACTGCCCCCCACCTCCAACAATATCCTTTGACCTCTGCATGGCCTCTCTCTGTCCCTGGGCAGCTGTCCAGCACTCAAGCATCTCTTGGCTGCAGGCCTGGGCTGGTGGGAGTGGGGAGGGGCCTGCTGAGGCCCCTCGCCTGGGGCCAGCCTTGACCTTGGTGGTCCCTTTCGACCTGGGGCTGGCAAGGAGGTGGTCCCTGTGGTTTGGGGTTAGGCCCCCACCCCTCTGGCTCAGCTAAGAAGCCCTGGGGTTAGGCACTGTCTCTATGGAGAAGCCCCAGGGTTAGGCGCTGTCTCTATGTCTCTTCTCCGGTTAGGATGGGGTGTGCTTATGGACCAGGGCTGGAGACATCCAGTTAGTCCTGAGCAGAGCTGACTGAGGCTGGGCATCCAGATGTAGGCTCAGCTGTCCGCCTAGCAGAGTGACATTCAGAGTGTTGATGCTTCCGGGCTTCCTAATATGCAATGGCACCTTCCTTCTCAAGAGCTTGCGTGTCCAGTTTTCTCCCTTCTCCCTGGGGGCGGCGTCTGTGTCTCCTCCATTTTCTCTGGGGACCCGCCCTTGGGGCTGGAGGACGGATGAGGCAGGCAGGAGGAAGCCAGGCAGGATTTTCCTGAGTCTGCCTTCCCCAAGCCCCCCTTTCCTGCCTGTGGCCCAGCCCGATGCTGCGGGGGAGGGGCGTGTTGGAGGGGGTGGGGCCTCTCCTGAAATAGCCACCCTGGCCCAGGTCTGGGAAGCAGCTGTGTGCATCTGGCGGCACAGAGCCTGCTGTCTGGCATTCAGGGCCTGCTTCTATTTATCAGCACGAAACTCTGACTCACTCGGGATGGTGGGAAGAGAAGGAGGCAGCTGGGAGCAGGTCTGGCCCCTGCCTCTGCCTGTTCCAGGTGTGCTCACGGGCCACCCTGCGTCGCCATAAGAGGCAAGACCTGAAGGGTCATTCGTCATCCTCCTTGAGGGCAGCACTGGAGCTGTACAGGGAAGACACATCCCCGATGCTCTCTGTTCCTGGGGTGGGGCCAAGTTGCGCCAGCCACCCCACCCTCGCCCTCCCCCAGTCCCCCATCACAGTGGGACAACCGGTTTGAGATGCTGGCTGCTGCCCAGCGGCGTGGGTGGAGCAGCCTGGGGTCTGCTTGCTCTCTGAGGCCGCCCTGGGATGTGCAGTGGCCACATTCTTCAGTGTCACTCACTCATGCCTGTGCCTGGGCCTGGCTCTGCAACTTCTAGCCTCAGTTTCCACATCTGTGAATGGGGGAACAGAGTGTGTGCTGTGAAACCCACCTGTGAACATGGTGGCATTTGTGCGGGGTCTGGCCCAGAGCACCGCTCACAGGATCTCAGTGTCCCTCGCCTTTCCCGCCAGTCGCTGACCTTGGGAGGTTGGTTCCCAAGACAGTGGAGCCAAACGCAGACCAAGTGGGAAGTTCACCTCCCTGGTACAAAGTAGGGCCCAGCTACGATTACCCTTCAAGTGCCCCTCAGTCTACAGAGAGAGAGGAGTTCCTGAGAGGCAGTGATCACCCAGAGGCCTGCCCCACCGCAGATCCCTAGCCTGGATTCGGGGAGACCAGAGGTGAAGCAGGCAGGACTAAGAGGAACGGCCATGGCCACCGACACTGGGCACCTGCCATGTGCCAGGCACTGTACTGGTCCTTTGCAATATGATCCTCACGACCACCCGTGAGGGAGGTGGTGTAACCCCATTTGATAGAAGTGGACACTGAGGCTCAGCAGAGAGGGGAACTGCCCTGGTAGTAAGTAGCTGAGATTTCAAATGGTCTGTGGTTCTCCGAATGGTGGAAGGGGCTTCTGGGGTGCTGGGAGAGATGGGCCTTAGGGCCTGGGCCTCTGGGGCCACTGGTGATCTGGCCCAACCTGCAGGACAGTGAGATCTTGGAGTCTCTCAGGGAGCCTGGGGCACTCCAGAGAAACCTGTCTGACTGCTTCCCTGCCCCACCCAGTCTCCTGTCCAATGTCTGGGTGTGGCCTCGCCTCTGCAGCCTTTCCCAGGGAGCACCGGTGGAGCAAGGGTGGCGTCCACAGACCCCAGAGGCTGCTGGAGGCTCCTGGCAGTGTTGGGTCGGGACAGCAAGTGAGCCTGGGGCTGCTGGTGCATCTGGCCCTTTACTGCCCCAGCCTCCAGGGGTTCATGCCTGCTGGGGGGCAGAGATGCAAGGCCAGGACTCACACAGCTGGCACCCCTGGGGCTCCACTGCTCCCAAGGCATCTCATATGGGCAGCTCCTTCCTGGGACTGGGCCCTTCTGCGCTCCCCTCGCCCCCATCCTGTAGCCCACTGAGGCCCTTGGGGCCATCGTGGGGTGAGGAGAGACCACCCCCAGGCAGGGCCTGGGGAAGAGCTGAAGCTGGGGCTGGGCTAGGTGTTGGGGTACCTCTCCAGGGGCCAGCTGACTTCCTGCTTCCTGACTTCCTTCTTTGTGCTGCCAGCAGCCACGATGGAGGTGATGAACCTGATCGAGCAGCCCATCAAGGTGACCGAGTGGCAGCAGACATACACCTACGACTCAGGCATCCACTCAGGCGCCAACACCTGTGTGCCCTCAGTCAGTGGCAAGGGCGTCATGGAGGATGACGAGAGCTGCGGGCGCCAGTACACGATCAAGAAGACCACCACCTACACACAGGGCGTGCCCCAGAGCCAAGGTCGGGACCCCCGGGGACTGTTCCATGGGGCAGAAAACCTGGCTGGGCCCTGGAGACAGGTCCGAGTAGAAGGAGGCAGATTGTAGGGGCCCCTGTTCTGAGGGGAGAGGCCCAGTTCCCACTCTTAGGGAGCAGTGGTGGAAACGGGGAGGTACGGCTCGTGCTCACAGGGGCCCACCCAGTCTGCGGGAGGAGGCACGGGGGTTCAGACTACCCCACGTAGAAAGGACCAGACTTCTCTTCCATGAACCCTCAGTATGGAGGGAAGGCGTAGACCCCGCCCTCAGGGTGCCCCAGTCTGAAGGAAGAGGGTCAGTCATTGATGGGGAGGTGTCACCGCTGCCCTCAGGGAGCCCCTGGACTTCGGGACACATCCCTTTGGCTCCAGAAGCCTCAAGGTCAATGGGAGAGTCAGGGCTCCAGCCCTCAGGGAGCCCCCAGGCATCCCCTGTAGATGAGGTGTGGTTCTCAAGCCTGAGGACTCCTCGTTCCAGGGGAGGGGTGGGGTGGGGGTGGGGGGGTGCAAGGAGAGGGGGCCCAGGCGTGCTGCGGGAGAGGAGTAGCCCGAGGACTGTCGTCCACAGGTGCCTCCAGGGCCCTGAACGTTCCAGCGGGTGAGCCATGGCCGCTGGGAAGAGGTGCAGGTGGGCTGTGGCTGTGGGGGCTCCACCGAGCTCGGCCCCTGCACGCTGGTCTCCCCCCTGACAGCAGGCAGGGGCCTCCCGGGTTGGCAGGGCAAGGAATTCGTCGGTAGCTAAGAGTACAGCATCCAGGTGGGAAAGCCATGTAGATGTCTTCTCCTTCCTCACTAATTAGAAGGCAGAGCCTTTGCCTCCCTCTCCCCGGGGTCATCCGGACGGTTGCTAGGGCGGGCTTACCTGGGCACCTATTTGTAGGACTCCCAGGTCCCTCCCCCGCAGGGCCCCAGGGAATGGAAGCTGGAAGGGGAAACCTAAAGTCCCAGCTGCGGACCCAGCTCCTGCTCTCTGAAACCCAGGCCTCATGTTGCCTTTGATCTGCTGCATGGTACCGGGAGGCTCTCTGGGCCTCTACTTGCCTGCCTGTGTAGTGGGAGAGTTGCTGCCTTTGGCAATGATAAGGGCATAGTTAGAATTCTGATATTTCAGAGTTGAAAAGAGGCCTAGATATCTAATCTGTCCCCTACCTGATGGTTGAGAGAAAACAGAGGAGGGGCATGGGCCCCTGAGCCAGGCTGCTGTGCCCGGTTCTCCCATCTGTAAAGTGGAGGGAATAATTGTACTTACCTTGTAGGGTTATCGTCAGATTAAATAAGAAAATAAAATCACCTGGGCAGGTGCAGTGGCTCACGCCTGTAATCCCAGCACTCTGGGAGGCCCAGGGGGGTGGATCCCTTGAGGTCAGGAGTTCAAGACCAGCCCGAGCAAGAGCGAGACCCCCCCCCCCACAAAAAATAGAAACATTAGCCAGGTGTGGTAGCATGTGCCTGTAGTCCCAGCTACTTAGGAGGCTGAGGTAGAAGGATTGCTTGAGCCCTGGAGTTTGAGGCTGCTGTGAGGTATGATGATGCCACTGTACTCTAGCCCAGGTGACAGAGCAAGACCCTGTCTCCAAAAAAAAAAAGAAAAAAGAAAAAAGAAAAGCACTTAACTCACTACCAGGCACTGTATAAGTACTGAAAAAATGTTAGCTATTCTTATTAAAAACAAGTATGGCTAACATTTTTGTAGTGATAGGTGCCAGGCAGATGAATCTTTTCAGTGCAATATATGACTATTTTCTCATTTTAATTGTCATAAGAATTCCCTGTGGTGGACAGAACCATCTTACAGATGAGGTGACTGAGGCGATGGTGACCTCCCCCAGGTCCCTGGTGAGAGGCAGAACTGTGAGTGGCGTGCTGGGTCAGGGTGCCGACAGCCCAGGGAGCCCAGGTGGCGCTGTCTGTGCATCCTGCCCTACTCCCTGGGCCTGGCCCTGGCCCCTGCCTGCCTCCTGAACTCAGTCCCTGCCCCGCTGGCCCCCAGGTGACCTTGAATACCAGATGTCCACGACGGCCAGAGCGAAGCGGGTGCGGGAGGCCATGTGTCCTGGCGTGTCGGGCGAGGACAGCTCTCTGCTGCTGGCCACCCAGGTGGAGGGGCAGACCACCAACCTGCAGCGCCTGGCCGAGCCATCCCAGCTGCTGAAGTCGGCCATCGTGCATCTCATCAACTACCAGGATGATGCCGAGCTGGCCACCCGGGCCCTGCCCGAGCTCACCAAGCTGCTCAACGATGAGGACCCGGTCCGTGAGAGGCCTGGGGTGGGGACTGGGCGGGGAGGGGAGAGGTCAGGTGTCTGCAGGGGAGGGACATTGTAGAGGTGGAGAGAGATCATGACCCAGACCCTCCATGTGTGAGGAGTCTTACTTGGGTCCCTCTGAGCTCTGTGGAAGGGTCTCCCGGCCCCTCCTCACTGCTCACATTCATACGCCAGGTGGTGGTGACCAAGGCAGCCATGATCGTAAACCAGCTGTCGAAGAAGGAGGCGTCGCGCCGGGCCCTGATGGGCTCGCCCCAGCTGGTGGCGGCTGTTGTGCGCACGATGCAGAACACCAGCGACCTGGACACGGCCCGCTGCACCACCAGCATCCTGCACAACCTCTCCCACCACCGCGAGGGGCTGCTCGCCATCTTCAAGTCAGGCGGCATCCCCGCTCTGGTTCGCATGCTCAGGTACCGCCCCCGATCACTGCGGGAGCCCAGAACCCCAGGGCATTCCCTCCCTTAGGCCCCCCCTGCCCTCCCTTGGGCTTCCATAAGCATCTTTTGCACCTACTGTATGCCAGGTGCAGAACTATGCCCCGTCCTGGCACTCAGAGGCTCACAGCTTAACAGGGGAGACAGGCGCATAAACAGCAGGTTATTTATTGGGATACCATATAGGCTATGGCGGAAGAGTGTCAAGATTGCTCAGAGGTCGAATTGCTCTAAGGGCTAAGAGAAGGGGGTTGATGGGTGAGTGGAGTTTGGCCAATGTAGAAGAAGGGAAGAGTGTTCAGGCAGAGGGAACAGCATGTGCAGAGTCCCTTGCAAACTTTCTCTTTCCTGGCCAGTGTTGTTTGGCCTCGTTCCTCATCCCCATGCCAGGCTGGGAGCTCCCTAAGGGTGGAGATAATGATTTCACTCCCCTCTGAATGCTACTCAGGGCCTGTCTAGCACGTGGCCTTCCACATGGTCACTTAGTAGGGACAGGGGTCGAGGGGACCTGCTATGTGCTCAGCACTAGGCTGGAGGTTCAGAAGCAGGAGTCATGGTCCCAGTGGGGAGAGGAGAGTGCTGTGTGCTCTGTGCACAAGAGTGGGGCCCGGCTCAAGGGACGGTGAGATCTCAGCAAAGGGGTATTTCCATGGGGTGCTGGTGTGGGGAAGGCTTCCTGGGGGAGGTAGACACCCATGCCAGGCCCGCATTTATGCCAGGCCCTGGGACCTGACTGGTGCTAACCCCCTGCCCACCCTCCCAGCTCCCCCGTGGAGTCCGTCCTGTTCTACGCCATCACCACGCTGCACAACCTGCTGCTCTACCAGGAGGGGGCTAAGATGGCAGTGCGCTTGGCGGACGGGCTGCAGAAGATGGTGCCCTTGCTCAACAAGAACAACCCCAAGTTCTTGGCCATCACCACTGACTGCCTGCAGCTCCTGGCCTACGGCAACCAGGAGAGCAAGGTGGGCCCCTCCCTGGCTCTCCCATGGCCTGAAGCCCATCATTCCACCTTGTTCCAGGCTCCGTCCTCTGGCCCCTCACTCTGTGTATTTATTTATTTAGAGACAGGGTCTCGCTCTGTCGCCCAGGCTGGAGTGCAGTGGTGTCATCATAGCATCATAGCTCACTGCAGCTTCAAACTCCCGGGCTCAAGCCATCCTCCTATCTCAGCCTCCTGAGTGGCTGGGACTATAGGTGTGTGCCACCACACCTGTTTAAATTTTTTGTAGAGATGAGGTCTCACTATGTCACCCAGCTGGTCTCGTACTCGTGGCCTCAAGTGATCCTCCCACCTTGGCCTCCCAAAGTGCTGGGATTACAGGCTGGAGCCACTGCGCCTGGCCCCCTTACTCCCTTTAGATGAGATAGATATGTATATGCAGATACACACACCTCATCATATTCCTGAGTTACTCAAAATTATTATCAATATTTTGAGGATAAGGAAAAGGAAAAAAAATCACTTATCATTCTCATACAGACACTGTTGTCATTTTGATGTGCTTCTTTTGATGTTGTTCTGTGGGGTGGGCATGTTTACAAATATGTACACATGGTTGTAGTCACAGCAACCTGCAACTTTACATCAATTTTCTACACGATGTTTTTAAAATCTTTTTTTTGTTATATTGCCCTCAAAATCACCCTGTATGATGGCAAATGGCATTTCATTAAGTGGAAGGCCCTGGAGGAGGGCATTTAGATTGCTCCCAATTTTATACCTTTATAAACAAAAATGCTGTAATGAACATCTTTGAGCACATAGCTTTTCCCAAAGAGTAGAAAGAATTTTTATCAGCAGGGTTAAAGATTTTTAACACTTCTAGGCTTTTACCCAGATGGCCAGACTGCTTTCCAAAAGGACTAGACTAATTTCCAGTGCTACTGGTGGTAATGGGTATGAGTACACTTTCACCACATCCTTGCCAGCATTGGGTATTATCTTTTTTTTAGACTTTTGGTTTATAGAACAGCCACAGACGCTATTTGGGTTTTAGCCGAAATTCAGTAATGACAATTCTGTCACCTGCCCCCTTCCTTCCTTGTTCCGTGTCATATTCCCTGTCCATCTTACTCGCCGACCCCCACAGCTGATCATCCTGGCCAATGGAGGACCCCAGGCGCTTGTGCAGATCATGCGTAACTATAGTTACGAGAAGCTGCTCTGGACCACCAGCCGGGTGCTCAAGGTGCTGTCTGTGTGTCCCAGCAATAAGCCTGCCATTGTGGAGGCCGGTGAGTGTTATGGCCTTGAGGGTGGCTGGGTGGGGGCTCTGCCCAGCACCATGCTCCCCTGTGACTGACGGGACCCCTGTCCCCTACCCCAGGTGGGATGCAGGCTCTGGGCAAGCACCTGACAAGCAACAGCCCCCGCCTCGTGCAGAACTGCCTGTGGACCCTGCGCAACCTCTCAGATGTGGCCACCAAGCAGGTGAGGGACGTGTCCAGGCCTGGGGTTGACCTCTGCAGCTGCCTCCTCCAGCCTCCTGTCTGGGCGTCGGACCTTAGGGGCTGTGGGAGGACCGTGGCCTCTAAATCCCCCGCCCTCGTGGCTAAAGACTCTCATCCCATCAGCCAAAGGCTCTAATCCCTATTGCGGGTGTGGGAAGGAAAGAGAAGCGGGTGGGGGCTGACGTTTTAAGCTGGGGTTCAGGTGGTGGCAAAGGAACAGCTTTGACCTGGACTCTGGGGTGGGGAGCAGTAGTGCTCCAAGAGACAGCTGTGAGGCCCAGATAGCTAAAAATACAATTAAAGGAAAAGTGTGTGTCCAGGACAAGCCCCTGGTCCCTCCCTCCAGCGAACCTGCCCTTCCTCAGCGCCTCCCCTCTTAAGACACCATTCACTGAGACCTGCCTTGTGCTGGGCTCTGCTTGGACTTGCGGATGTCAGTTCATTTAACTCTTGCTGCATCCTGGAGGTAGAGTGTGGGACCCTGTTGGTTAGATGACGAAACCAAGGCTCAAGGAGTTAAGTAGTTGCCCGTGGTCACAGCTAGTAAATGACAGAGCTGGGATTTGAACCTAGGACTGTTTGTCCCCAAAGCTGGGGTCTTTCTGCCCCCGTACGAGGCCCACATGGCTCTCCCTGGGAGAAGTGAGACTTCTGAGTTACACGTTTATCCTGAAAGTGCATTTGGTTTAGGCCCCCTTCGGGGGCAGCAGGGAAGGCCCAGAAAGGTGAGAAGTATGTAAAAGTGGCTCAGCTGGGCCACTGAAGCATGGCGGCCCACAGCAGTTGCCTCCTGGCCTAGAGGCTTCCCTTGGCCACTATACCCTCGGCCTGAGTAGGGCTCTGCTTGGGTCCGAGGGCCCCGGGGGAGAGGCAGGTGGGATGGAGGGAAGAGCATGGGCTTAGGGGCTGGCCTGGGTTCAGATCCAGCCATTCGCTGTGTGTCTGTGGGCCAGCCCCCCAGCCTCTCTGAGCCTCATTGTCTCACCACCTCACTTGCTGCGAGGGATAGTAACACTCTCTCCCAGGGCATTGACATGTCATGGGAGTGGAAGTTTCCCGGTACAAACACGCAGGGCTGTCCCCCTCTGGCCATCCCACTCCCCTCGGACATATCTGGGAAGCCTTCCTGGAGCTGGCTGCCCCCTCACTCCCCACTGCCTTCCTCGCCCCAGGAGGGCCTGGAGAGCGTGCTGAAGATCCTGGTTAACCAGCTGAGCGTGGATGACGTCAACGTCCTCACGTGCGCCACGGGCACTCTCTCCAACCTGACGTGCAACAACAGCAAGAACAAGACACTGGTGACTCAGAACAGTGGCGTGGAGGCCCTCATTCACGCCATCCAGCGTGCCGGCGACAAGGATGACATCACAGAGCCCGCCGTCTGTGCCCTGCGCCACCTCACCAGCCGCCACCCCGAGGCCGAGATGGCCCAGAACTCTGTGCGTCTGAATTACGGCATCCCAGCCATCGTGAAGTTGCTCAACCAGCCCAACCAGTGGCCGCTGGTCAAGGTACTGGGGTTGGGCCAGGAGGAGCTCCCTGCTGCGGGGTCAGGAACCGTATCAGTTTGGGTGAAGCTGCTGCCACAAAGACGCCCTAAATACAGTGGCTCAAATAAGATAGAAGTGTCTTTCTCTCCCATGTAACAGTTCAGACCTTAACATTGGTTCTGCTCCAGAGACCCAGATGCTTTCCATCTTGTGGCTCCACCATCCCCTAGAGCACAGCTTCTCAAAGCTTAGTATGCGCGTGGGCACCCTGGGCAGTCTCATTAAAATGCAGGTCCCGATTCAGTAGGCCCAAGGGGGTGCTCTGAGATTCCGCATTTCTGATAAGCTCTCGGGGGATGCCGCTCATGCATGGAGCACGTTTCTTACGCCAGAGGGTCTAGGTGAGAGTGTTGTCTTGACATGACGGTTGCACTGAACACGTTCCCTAGATGGGTTCTGGCCCATGAGAAGTGGACAGGGCCAGTGGCCACCAGAAAGTGGGACACAGCTTCGGCTCACACGCTAGAACTCGGTCATTTGGCCACATCGAGATGCCAGGAGATTAAGAAGTGTGATGATCAGCCAGAAGGCCGCGTGTCCCACTAAAACTCAGCAAGGCTACTAAAGAGAGGATTCTGGGGGACACTTAGTTTCTGCCGTGGGGAGTCAGGGGTGTGAAGGGGGGCCTTCTCCTCGGGAGGCTACTTGGGTAGGGGAGAGATGTGCGTCATTTCCCTGTCGGGCAGGGGGTATGGGGGTTGGCCAGATGGTAGCAGGCCCAAGGGACAGACTAATCAGGGAGGGTCTCTGTGTGTCTCTATGAGTAGAAACAAGGAAAAGAGCCAAAGGCAAGGTGACGTCTGCTCCTGGAGAGTAGGAAGCTGCCATTGACTAGGGTTTTGTCAACAGGCACAGGAACCAGCTGGCAAGGGCCTCCACTAGCTAAATTTTAGAGAATTTAACAGATAAGAATGGCTCTAAGTGATTATATACATTGCATTTTTAAAAAATTCATAGTAAGAAGAAAAAAAGGCAGTGTATGGCGCCTCCTTGGTGCTTGGTCTTGGCTGTAAGCCCAAGGTGGGGGGAGCACGTGCACCCTGAGCCAGCAGCTAGGTGACAAGTGACCAGTAACCCTGGCAAGTCATCCAGCCTGTGCTCACGTCCTCACCTCGCATGACTTTGTCCGCGCCGGCCCTGGCTTCTTGTTTTGAGGATCAAATGAGATGAGAAATTGCTTTGCAAGACCCCAAGGGACTCTGGGAGGCCAGAGTGGCTCCTGTGAGTCGAGGACCCCAGGGAGACCTCTTCTCGGGGCCCTGCTTGGGAGTGATTATAATGTGAGCATCACCCCAGCGGGAGGCTTTGAGGTCAACCATAGGAAAGATTTCCTGATAACCAGGGTTGGGAGCTATCAGAGACACAAGCAGGGCCCCGGTGTCGGTGGGTGGTTTTTGAGAGAGGGGACTGGGTGAAGGTCAGGACATGGTGGAATGTTCTGGAATGGAGTGTTATTTTAGCAGGTACTATTAGAGGTAGCCATGAAGACCCATGGATCCTATGGAATAAGGGACACGGGCTGGGGGTGTTATTCTCTGCAGATCTTCCAGCATGTCTGTATCTGGCTGAGGGGACAGAAGAGGTGACGGGAGGGAAGAGATGCCTGAAGCTGGGAAACTGGGATCCTCCAGCTGCCCAAGAAATGTCCCTGATCACTGTCCCTTTTCTTGTCAGGCAACCATTGGCCTGATCAGGAATCTGGCGCTGTGCCCAGCCAACCATGCCCCACTGCAGGAGGCCGCGGTCATTCCCCGCCTCGTGCAGCTGCTGGTCAAGGCGCACCAGGACGCCCAGCGCCATGTGGCTGCGGGCACACAGCAGCCCTACACGGTAAGTGAGCTGGTGGTGCCTGCGACGGCCCTCCCCGGGAGGCCAGGGTGTCCTCTGTGCACACGTGCGTGTGTGTAAATGGGGAGGTGAGTTGCAATTGATGCCAACTCCAACTTTGTCAGGGTGTCATGGTGGGGGAGGGTTTGTGGCTGTGTCCGAGGGCCACCTGTCCCCATGCCCCTGCCTCCTCTTGTGCAGGATGGCGTGAGGATGGAGGAGATTGTGGAGGGCTGCACTGGAGCTCTGCACATCCTTGCCCGGGACCCCATGAACCGCATGGAGATCTTCCGGCTCAACACCATCCCCCTGTTCGTACAGGTGAGTCTGGGGCAGGTGGGCGGGTGAGGTTCCCCCCACCCCCACGCTGCTTAAAGGGGAAGGTTGAGAGTCACAGATTTGAGAGGTCTGAGCCAGACATGGAGAGGTCTTTGGAGGAAAGTAGCCACGCGAGGAGTGACTCCTTAGCAGACCCGACGGGAATGCTTTCCGAGCTCAAAAGCAAGGGACGAGATCACAGATGGAAAAAAAAACCGTCTTGAGATTCAACCACATAAACATTAAAACCATCTATGTGTCAGAAACAACCTAAAAAAGCATTAAAAATGTAATCAGCAGACTGGGAAAGTATGTGCAGGCGCCATAACAGATGAGAGTTTAATATCCTTCGTGTAAAAGAGCTCATTAATACTCGATCCCAACAGTAAGATACGGGCGGAGGAGACAAGTAATTCCCAGGCGGGTCATGTGCAAGTGACACTCAGCCCCAGGAGTTTAAAGAAATGACAGCCCCAGTGGGAGCCGTTATCCACCATTAAACTGGCGAAGGGGAGAGGTGGGCGGGGCTGTGGGTGCGCCGCCCGGCCTGCCTCACCCCCAACCCTGCGTTCCCTCTCCCCAGCTCTTGTACTCGTCAGTGGAGAACATTCAGCGTGTGGCCGCCGGGGTGCTGTGCGAGCTGGCCCAGGACAAGGAGGCGGCCGACGCCATCGATGCTGAGGGGGCCTCCGCGCCCCTCATGGAGCTGCTACACTCCCGCAATGAGGGCACAGGTGAGGGGCTGTGCGGTGGGCGGGCGGGGAGAGGGTGGTGGAGGCAGGCGTCTGACTTAGCCTTTCCTTTCCTCTCTGCTCAGCCACCTATGCCGCTGCTGTCCTGTTCCGCATCTCCGAGGACAAGAACCCAGATTACCGGAAGCGTGTGTCTGTGGAGCTCACCAACTCCCTCTTCAAGCACGACCCGGCTGCCTGGGAGGCTGTGAGTGTCCTGGGTTGGACTGCAATGTATGGTTGTGCAAGTTGCACACTACACAAGAGCAACATACTACCAACTTCATAGATTTTTACTTTTATTTTTGAGACAAAGTCTCATTCTGTTGCCTGGGCTAGAGTGCCGTGGCATCAGCCCAGCTCACAGCAACCTCAAACTCCTGGGCTCAAGTGATCCTTCTGCCTCAGCCTCCCGAGTAGCTGGGACTACAGGCACAAGCCACCACGCCCAGCTAATTTTTCTATTTTTTGTGGAGACAGGGTCTAACTCTTGCTCAGGGTGGTCTCGAACTCCTGAACTCAAGTGATCCTCCCGCCTCGGCCTCCCAGTGTGCTAGGATTACAGGCATGAGCCACCGCGCCCGGCCCATAGATTTTTGTTTTATCATTGGATCATTGACGACAATTCCTAGCAGATGGAAGTAGGAGGTTGAACCATATGTCTGTTTTTGACCTACAAAAATGGCAATTTTATTTTGTCCTAATGAATATAAAGTGTTTATGGAAGGGGTGCCCTTTCCTTGCGGGAAGGTGCTGTGTAGGCTAGCAGCAGCCTGGGCCCGGCTGGGGCAGGGCCCCGCACCATTCTTGAGTCCTCTTCCCTCCACTCCCCTCCTCGGAGCTGCTCTGGTTCTGTGGGAACCCCAGCACGACTGGTGAGACCCTCCACCCCAGGGAGGTACCGAGGCCATGGGCTCATCAGGGCACTGGGTAACCCCATTTCATCATCCTCTGTTCCTCCAAGGAGTCTTTGCTTTCCCCTGGCCCCCTTTTCTAGAAGCATCTCTCCTTGCCCCCAGCTGAGATCCAGCTCAGAGGCTGCATTTTCAGACCCCCCCAACAATGTTTCTCTCTCCCCGCGCAGGCCCAGAGCATGATCCCCATCAACGAGCCTTACGCAGATGGTGAGTGTGCAGAGCACTTCGGGACCCAGGGAGCCGGGTGGGCTGTGTGGGTGTGTACGAGGGGACACACTGTGTCTCCAGGCCTAGAGGACCTGTGACAGCCACTGCGTGGCATCCACCACTCTAGTCTAGATCCCCTGATGCGGGAGTCTGCAGAAGGGGTCAGGCCCACTGGGGGTGGGCAGGGCTAGAGGAGGGGGTTGAGGGCTGCCCCTGCAGGGTGGCCCGCAGACCCCTGGACCCAGCCCCTTTCTCGTCCCCAGACATGGATGCCACCTACCGCCCCATGTACTCGAGCGATGTGCCCCTCGACCCCCTGGAGATGCACATGGACATGGACGGGGACTACCCTATCGACACCTACAGTGACGGCCTCAGGCCCCCCTACCCCACTGCTGACCACATGCTGGCCTAGGCGCCTCGACCCCTGGTATAGCACCCTCACTGCGGGCTGCTGGAGCACCGGCTTTTGCGTCTCTCTAGAGCCTCCTTCCGCTACAGGCCATCCCATTTCTCCGTGGAAACGCTGGCTCCTTTTCAGGGGTGGGGATGCTGCCCTGCTGAGCCTCCCCAGGCAAGGTGCACCCTGCCTTATTCCTGTGTCTTTGCTTGGGGCAGGGGGTCCTGCTCCTACCAGCCACTTCCTTCCAGGGGTGGTGGGCAGGCGACACGGGAGTGGCATGAGCTTCTGGGGACACAGGTCTGCCGAGCCCCTGACCTCTCTGTGTCTCTGCTCACCCCCACCAGGTGTGGTTCCTCAACTGAGAGGCTCTCCGTGCGGGCGATGGGGCGAGACAGAAAAGTGCCTGAGCAGGGGCCGGGGCCGCGACTTCCTGCTGAACTCCGCGCCCCCAGAGGTCCTCCGTAGGGTCTTTCTTGGGATGGTGTTCTGCTCCTTCTTTTCTGTCCTGGGCCTGACACCCCCTCCCCACCCCTGTGGCCCTGGCCACTTAAAGCTTCAGACACAAACTGCCCACTCTGTTGCCCGCCCCAGAACCCCCACCCCCGGCCTGTCTCCAGCTGCCTGGGCCCCACAGGGTTTTGGTTCCTTCTCTGCGTCTGATTTTCTCACCGAACTCCACTGACAGCTGCCCTGAATTCCTGGGGTCTCCAGGACCCAGGTTCAAGGCCTGAACCTTCCAAATCCAGAGCTTCTCTTGAAAAGTTCAGAAACCGTCCAGGGGAGACGGGGCGCAGGCGTGGAGAGTGAGTCCCCGCTCTGGGACACAGCCCGCTTCTCTCTCCAGGATGCTGAATTGGCTTTGCTCAGCACCAGGGAGATTTGGGGACAGCTCCCACACACCCTGTCCCACCCACACAACTGCCCTGGCTGGCCCCCAAGAAGTGCTCTTGGCTGACCCCTCTGGTGTGCGGTGAGGGGCTTTCTCTTCCCCTTCCGGTTTCAGACTCCCCCCACCACCTCCTGCACACGGCAGGGGGGACGGGGGGGGGTCCCAGCAGAGAGTTTTATTATTATCGCTTTATGTTTTTGGTTATTGGTTTTTTTGTATAGACCAAAGCAAAGAAAATAAAAGTTACACAGAGATCCAATGGAGGCTGTTCAGGGGCGTGGGTTGGGAGAGGCAAGGGGCTCCCCTAGCAGCCTGGCGCTCCTCTGCTGGGTCCTGCGTGTCCTCGGGGTGGCTGTGTTGGGGGGAGAGATGGGGGAGCTGGAGTCGATTTAATCCAGTACTCACGTGTAGGGTGCAGGGGTGACTGGGGTGAGTCCCCCCTTCAGGACACCAGGATGCTCAGGGACACTGGGCCTTATTCCGTCCATAAACAGGCAACCTCCTTGCTGGTCCCTCAATTTCCAGCCCTGCTCTGCTCCTGACCGGCCTTGGCGTACATTTGGCAGGTATCTCTAGTGCGTAACGGCTGTGGTTTATGGCTTAGAGTCCAGACCCCTTGTTGGTCTGCAGTGGGCCCACTCCTGCCCCTGCCCACCTCCCCTCTGTGCCCCCCCAACCCACTCTGCCCTCAGCAACACCAGTGACAGCCATCAACCTCCATGCTGCCCCCCTGCCTGGAATGACTTTGCTGTTCATCCACTGGGATCTGTCATTCCACCCACCACATTGGTCTGTGCTTCAGCTTATGTGACAGTTCCCCACCTATAACCCCAAACTCTTTCTGGGCTGGGCTGGTTACCATGCACCTGGCCAACCTGTTGACATGTGGCACCTGTGCGTCTCCTCTCGCAGGGTCCGATGCCTGCTTTCCACACCTGTCTGGAGCTCAGGGCAGTGGGGGAGGGCTGCGGCCCCGGTCACGGAGGGTCGGTGGGATGTGGTCCTGGTGTTGGGGCTGGAGGCAGGTAGCCCAGGTAGGAAGTGGCTGTAAAGCCCAGGCAAGAGGTGACGCTATGCTGAGCGGAGCTGAGCTCTGCCAACCCAGGCTCAAGGAAGGCTTTTATCCACGCACTTTATCTGCGCCCAGTGTTCAGGGCTCTGGCAGGAACACTCAAGTTGGGCAGTTTGAGGAGAATTTCATAGGGGACAATTTACAAAGGTGTGGGCAGGTATAAGAAACAGCAAGGGAGAGGCCAGTGCCCTGGGCTAATTACGGTGACCTCCACCTCTAGCCTGAGGCGGGAAGGGAGGGGATCCTTGGGGAGGTGGGGATGAGGGGAGGCTGTGACCTCACTCCCTCCTACCTGTGCTCTCCGTTGGCCAACCCAAGCCCAGAGAGCCCGTCGGTGTAGGAAGATCTGGAGAAGCCAAGGAAGCACTGGCACGAACCCTCCCCCCGTTTCCCAAAGAGGACAGGAGGACGCTCACAAGAAGGAATCACTCCTCAAGCCCCAGGATCGAGGACCAGGGAAAGGAGGAGACAGCAACGGACCCATGCCAAGGGTCGAAACTTAACTGAGCTTCACATTAGCCTCTGAGCTTCCTGGCAGCCTGGCCAAAAACAGACACTTAAGGCCAGCTGGTTTCAATGCAGTGAATTGGCCACTTCTTCAGTTTTCATGGAGCTACCTGAGCCTTGCAGCCTTGACAAAGTCAATTCACTTCTCTGAACCTTGATTTCCTTATCTGCAAAATGAGGATAACGCCTTCTCCACCTACTGCATGTGAGGATGAAATGGGAAAGTATAGGGATTCCAGGCAGGAAGAAAGAGAAAAGGGCAAAAGCTATTTCCCAAAATCTTTTGCCTTTTTTTTTTTTTTTTTAATCTCCAGAAGGGACATTCACCCCAGGGATTTATCTGGACATTGGCTGGAACTGTGTCACGTGGCCATCCTTTACTGCCAAGGGAGCGGGGAATTGAGAATGTTTTAGCTGCACACAGTGGTTCTGACAGTGAGAGGACGTTGAGTAGATCACCCTGGGGTCTGCTGCAGCTAGAAGTGAGTGTCCCCACACTAACCTTCCTTTTTGGTAGGCTTGGTCAGGGAGGCAGCAGAAGAGCGCTGGGTGTCTAGGTTTCAGCAAGACCAGAGGGGGAGATGCAGGCCTGGGCAATGTGAGCAGACTTGATAGAGCAGCCATCCCCAGGGAATAGGGGACCTGGCCCTGTCGGTCTGGAACGTCTCTGTCTGCCACCTGCCATGGTCAACAATACCAATGGAGACAGAGACAGACCTATCGAAATGGCAGGTGTCGTGCCAAATAATAACTAAAACGTCTCTTAAAAATAAAGTGTATTCAGCCGGGCACGGTGGCTGGTGCCTGTGGTCCCAGGTACTTGGAACGCTGAGACAGGAGGATCGCTTGAGCCCAGGAGTTTGAGGCCAGCCCTGGCAATATAGATCCCATCCAAAAAAAAAAGGTTAAAAAAGTGTTAATTTTTTTAAAAGTTATGAAAAAAATAAGTTATTAGAGTCATACCAAAAAATTTTAAAGCACATCTACACAAACTCATCCCAAAAGCATAATAATAACTTGGCTTAAAAGATGACAATCAAAAAAATAAAATCAGGCCAGCCACGATGGCTCACGCATGTAATCCTAGGACTTTGGGAGGTGGAGGCGGGAGGATTGCCCAAGGTCATGAGTTTGAGACAGGCTGAGCAACACAGGGAGACCCCATCTCTACAGAAAATACACAAATTAGCTGAGCGTGGTGGTGTGCACCTGTAGTCCTAGCTACTCGGGAGGCTGAGGCAGGAGGATCGCTTGAGCCCAGGAGTTTGAGGTTGTAGTGAGCTATGATGATGCCACGGCACTCTAGCCGCAGCGACAGAGACCCTGTCTCAAAATAAATAAATAAATACATAGGTAGGAAATAATTAAATGGAATCCTAAATCCTAATCTTTGGTCTAAAAACAGAAAATATGGGGACATTCTGCTATACCCAGGACATGTGGGAAAGAGTTGAGAAATTCAGTTGATTCCCAAGTTCATAATAAATTACTAGCACAGCAAAGCTATGGAGGACAACTCAAAAATACAGTCCCAGTGTATTAGGGTTTCTAGAGAAATGGAACCAATAGGATATATGTATATACATAAAAGGAGATTTACAATGAAGAATTGGTTCATTTATTACGAAGAGTTGATTACGGGCTGGCGAGCTGGCTCATGCCTGTAATCCTAGCACCCTGGAGGCCGAGGTGGGAGGATCGCTTGAGCTCAGGCTGCAGGCGTTAATTCAGCCCAGGTCCTGAGGCCTGAGACCTGGGGGAGCCAATGGTATAAATCCCAGTTCAGGGGCAGGAGGAGATGAAATGAAATGTCCCAGCTCCAGCTGGGAGGCAGGAAAAAAGGGGTAAACTTCTTCTTCCTCTGCCTTATGTTCCTCTCAGGCCCTCAACTCCATGGAGGATGCCCGCCCACCTTGGGCAGAGCAATCTGCTTCTCTGAGTCCACCCATGCAAACGCTAATCTCATCCCCAAATACCCTCCCAGACACACCCAGAAATTGTGTTTAATCTGGTCGCCCCGTGGTCAGTCAATCTGGCGCGTAAAATTAACCCTCACACCTACTCTGTAGTGACAGAGGTAAGATGTCCCTCGCCAAACCCTCAGGAAAGCGACAGCCACTCCATGTTGGCTGGATTCCTGGGCGATGCGTTCATTTGTTCACCAAATGTTGCCTCCGGCTGCTCTCTGCCAGACTGTTCCAGGCTCTGGGAGCAGAGATGCCCAACATTCTTGTCCTCCAGCGGGAGACGGACAATCGGCCAGCACCAGCAGGGGAGGGTGGGAGACAGTCCAGCACCAGCAGGGGAGGGTGGGAGACAGTCCGGGAGCCACCCCCACCCAGGGAGGGGGCGGTGACCTTGCAGGAGCAGGAGGAGGAGGAGGAGGAGGAGGAGGAGGAGTTGTTTGCTGGGGGGATGGGGGAGCAGGCACTGGCATTCCTGGCTGCCGAGGCAGCAAAGACACGGAGATCTGACCGGTGGGGATCGTGTGAGAAATGACAAGGAGTTGATGTGACCGGCCTAGGAGAGCAGTGGGCGAGACAGCCAGAAACAGGGCTGGAAAATGAGGCCAGCGGCGGTTGGGGAGGACCTTGTGCGTGTGGCCGCACCCTGTGGATTTGATCCTGGAGGGGACGGGGTGGGGAACCCCCAAGGTTCTACCCGGAGGGCAGCAGCGCCCCCTCCTGGAGGATGAGGGTCTGTCCGGGGTCGCTCTTGGAGAACCAGGACTAGGAAGTTACTGATCGCGCTCTTTGCGCCTAACCCTGTGCTAAGCGCTTTCCTACAACTCCGAGATTGGAGATATTTCGCCTCTCATTTTACTGTGGACGCCAAAAAAGTTCCAGTGATCTGCATAGAGACTCTGTTGTTTTTAATAATAATATTAAATAATATCAACAATGGCTATTGTCATTTGTTGAACCCTCACAGGGTGCTACGTGGTTTACTGCATAATCTCAGTTAATCACAGCCTTGCCAGGTGTGTAAAATAAGGGAACAGTATACAAGATAGAGTCCCTGCGACTCAGAGATGTTAGGAAATGTGCCAAAAGCAACACAGACTTTTGTAGAATGCAAGCTGTCTAGAAGTTCGAGGGCCACATGACTAAGCTCCCTGTCACCAGAGGTTTTCAGGGAAAGACTGGAGGGCTCCCTGGCGGGAAGGTCGTGGGAGAGATTCTGCAGCCACTGGCGAAAGGGCCCTTGGAAGGGCCTGGATAAAATCACCCTAATCTCCCAGAAGTCATCAGGTCTTCGAACCTCTGGGGACAAGGTGTGGCAAGGAGGCACCTGCAATAAGGGGACCTCAGGGGCTACTCCTCAGCCTGGAATGGCTGCAATGCTTGGAATTCTCACTTAGTGGTCCATGGTGCTAACTAACCAACACCCCTCAGGGGCCAGCTCAGCCCTCTCTCCTCCCCACCCCCAGCCCACACGCAGCACTTTGTAGACCCCCTTGCTGGGAGGGCTGTCTGTCTGTGCCTGTCCGCTCCACCAATACCAGCCACCACTGTTGACGGAGCACTTGAAATGCAACTTGGCACGTGTGATCTCATTAATTCCCAGATGAACTCTATGATATAGGTACCTTTATCCCCATTTCACACTTGGAGAAACCAAATCAGCACGGAGTTGCCTACTGGAGCTAGTGCTAGTGAGCACACGGCAGGCT